GACTGCGGCCCGCGGGAAGAGGAGGGGGCGGTGGCCGCGAAGCAGGAGGACGCCGGAGCTACCGAGGCGAAGCCTGAGCCTGGGCGCGCGCGTAAGGATGAGCCTGAAGAGGAAGAGGACGACGAGGATGACCTCAAGGCCGTGGCCACTTCCCTGGACGGCCGCTTCCTCAAGTTCGACATCGAGCTGGGCCGGGGCTCCTTCAAGACTGTCTACAAGGGACTGGACACCGAGACCTGGGTGGAAGTGGCCTGGTGCGAACTGCAGGTGAGGGTGTGCCGCTCCCCAGGAGCATCTGTGGGCCCGTCCTGGCCCAGCATGGGGTCTTAGGCAGGCCTGGGGATGGCGGGGAGGCCGAGTTTGTGTGTTGCCCTCTGTGTGGGTGGCAGGCAGGACCCCTTGGCCGACACGCTGGACGCCTGGTCTGTGTCTCTGCACAGGTGGGATTTGTTAGCTTGCTCGTTCCCCTGCGGTCAAGGCTTGGATGTGTTGTGTAAATGTGCCCACTGTGGGAGGGCGCTGTCGGCCCTGCTCCTTGTAGCGTCCTCATAACCCACTTTACTGATCAGTAGAGCTGAGACGCAGTGTGGGGCTTCAGGGCCTGTTTCCTAGGGGGATTTGGCAGCTCCCTGCTTCCTTTAAATTAGCACCTTCCCTATCCTGCGGAGTGTGGATTGTGGCAGCTATGAGTGCTATCCGGGGGCTTCCTCAGGCTCAGAGGTCTGACCTGAGGCCACTGGGACCACTGGGAAAGGCTTAGAAGCCCTGTCCGTAGCCTTTTGGTTCTCTCAGAGCTCTGGATGTGTGAGAGATCTTAAAGCTAAGTCATCCAAATGCCCCTGCATTTCCCCCTTCCTTTCCTCCTCCTCCCCGGATGCAGAGGCTCTGGGCATGCATTTTCCATAACCTTGCCCTATGTTGGCTGTGTCGGCTGGGGCCCTGGGAGATTATATAAACGGCAACCCTAGCCGTCCTAGGCCAGCCATGGAAGGGGAGGCAGTGCTTGTCACAGGGGTGTTTACAGGTCCTCCCTGGCTGGGAGGGGGCAGCTGTCAGGCAGGGGCTGGCCTTGGAGCACTGGCTGGAGGTGTAAGCCTACCCGCTGGCCTGTAAAGTTAGCCATCCTTCCAGGGCTGACGCGGACCAACAGGCCAGGGCAAGCTGGGTGCCAGGGCCGTGGCCACACTGCAGGACGCCTGCGTTTTTGGCCCAGAAATGGGATTCAGTTGCTGTGTTCTCCAGCCTGTGCAGGGTGAACTGTGTGTGTGTGTTCAGGCCACGATAATGTGTGGGTGTCAGGCTGTTGTCAGCCCTTATAGTAGGACAAAGAACCCTGGAAGTCTTGCCTTCCCACTGCCCCTTGGGTCTGCCATAGAAATGTGACTGCATAACCTAGGCCAGGGGCGTCCTTTGGGGTTTTTCAGGAGGGGCCGAGGAGCTCTCCTCCCTCTTGCCCTGAAGGTTCCAGAGCTTTGCCCAGAGGTAGCTTATATGGCACAGAGAGCGCAGGTGGGTGCGGCAGGGTCTGTGGCTTGCTACCGAAGGTGGGGGAGGGCTCTGTGAAGCCACGGCATGGGCTTTGGCCGCCCACCTTCCTGCTCTTGCCAGATGACCAGCGTGGCTCTCTGAGCAGCCGGGCACCGCTGTTGCAGAGTGCCACCGTGGGTGGAGGATCAAACAGAGGGGCTGCAGCAGGCTTGATGTGAGTTAGACCTCTGCAGCTTAAGCCTGCTGATCTGGCAGAGGAACCGCAAGCGCATGTGACTTTCAGAGCTTGTTAATTCTCCTTCCCTTTAAGGCAAGGCCAGCAGTCTGTGTCTGCCCATGTGGTGGGCAGGGCAGTAGGGGGTGGGGCTTGGCTTCTGTCCAGGGGTCTTTTGCTCCTTGGCTGTAGATAGGAGTGGGAAGGCTGGGGTAGCTTTGGGACCGTACTGCTGTTACTTCCTTGGGACTTAATGAGGCCCCCTAGACCATGGGGAAACTGTCTCCATATCTCTGAGAGATACTGCCATGCTCACCAGAGGCTGATTTGCATCCTTTGGGGTCACCACCCTCTGCCTGGGCCAGTCTGGGAAAGTTTTACATGACAGAGGTCTGGATAAGCTTAGAGGAGCCCCCCTTGCTGAGAACCTACTGTGTGCCAGGCCTGTGTTGGGAGCCTCCTCATCACTAGCCGTGGAGAGACCCCCAAGGTCATAGCGAGGAGATGGCAGGGACATTTGGGGATTAAGGGAGGAGACACTGTCCTTATGTGGAGAGAGCTTGCCAACTTTGTGCAGAGTCATGGGAGAGGCAACCTTTTGGTGTCCAGGATGTGGGCAGGGCCGAGTAGGGTGGGGTGGGGAGCAGGGATCCTGCCTGCAGTAGGCTCCCTAGATCAGGTCAAGGTTGGGGGAGTGGGATTCCTCCAGGAGAAGGGGCACAGGGTCAGGCCTCGCCTACTACCATGCTGCAGAGAAGCGGCCCTGCTCTGGAAGAGTGATAGGTGGACATTCCTTTATCAGGCGCGTGATTGGCTGACCGTGTTCCCGAGGAGGCGCCGCCTTATTTTTTAGCACTGAGGATGGGGTCCTGAGAGTCTGGATTTACTTGTGGAGGAGGGAAGGTCTGTTGGGGTATTGCCTTTAGCCAGGGGAGTGTCATGGAATCCTCGCTGCCTGGCCTCTCCGTTGTTCCCCTCTTCCCGATACCCAGGGTGCCTCAGCATGGTGTGGCCTCCCTCTGTTTATTCAGGTGCTTGCTGGTGGCTGTTCTTCCTGCCTATGGTGAGCAGGGGGCTTGTGGGCCCTGAGACCTCCCTGGAGAACAGCGAGATGCATTGCCTGCTGGCTCTTTCCAGGGTTCCCTGCCAAGGGGCAGACACACTTCCATTGTGGACCTAGGGAGTGTGGTTTAGGGGACATCTGATTTCCCTCAGTGACTTCGTGTTGAAAGACTGTTGTGGGGAAAACAGTATGTGCTTATCTCATATCCAAGGGCAGCAGGATGCCTCACAATCTGAATCTCCAGATATCCAAAGCTGAAACTTGAACTGTTTTTTTGGTGGGGGAGGAGGAGGTGACCATTTAAAAATACTGCGCTTCTGTCATTTGTCTTTTGAATGAGTTTTTATTCCAGCGTGTTACAGCAACAGCAGACATAAAAATGCCCCAGAATGCCACCTGCCCTCCCCTTCTCTCCCCTCTCCCACGTTCCTGTGGTTGTCCTTGGCCAGCTTTGGTGCTGCACAGACCCCTCCATCAGCATGTGAGACGGCTTAGCATCCCCTGTCCCTTTTGGGAGTGGTCATCTACCTGCCGTGGTACACCTGGATGCTCTGGGAGGCAGTTCTGGGTCCTGTTTGGGCATCCACCTCATCTGCAAAGCCCAGTGCGAGGCTGAGACACATGCTTGGCATGTCATAGCCACAGCACAGGGATCATGGGGGTACCCAGCTTGGTGTGGCCACAGTAAAGTGATGAGAGGTATGTGGTGTGGCACCGTGCCACCTCTTGCTCGACTCCCTCCCTGGTCCTCTGTTTTTGGTGTTGAGCTTCTCTGTTTTCCGTGTTGAGCTTCTATGTTTTCCTTGTTTTTCTGGCTACCTAGGTGGCTAGACTGATGCTGTTTCTTGTGACTCAGAGCTCCCCTTCCCTCTAAGGTCCACCAGTCCCTGAGAACATGACCCCCAGAACCCAAGTGTTTGTCAGGGGATGCTGTCAGGGACAGCTTTTTAGCCTTTTCTGCTCCTGCTGTGTCTTTCCAGGGGACCTGGAAGGGGGCGTTTTTCACTCCCGTGTTTATACACTCCCTGTCATTGTCCTCTGTCAGAGAATCCCCAGTCCCAGGCGCTCATGCCACTGCCTCCTACAGAAGGCTACTCTGTGCTGCCATTGCGGTGTTGGAACCTGTGTCTCTGAGGTGGTTGTGGAGGCCTTGTGTGGGCTGTGTGTCACCTGTCTGTGACTGTTGGCTCCACAGAGCAGTATGAGTCCTAAAGAGGCTGGAGAAGTGGGTGCTTCTCCTCCCAGCCTTGCCTGAGCCTGGCTGGGCAGGAATGCAGGGAAGCAGGTCCCTGGTGGACAGATCATGACAAGGATTCTTCTGCTGTGCTGTGCGATGGTGGTGGTGGTGATGGCAGCTCAGAGAGCTCATGTGCCCCAGCAGGAGATCGCAGTGTGCCCTCTGTCTTCCTGTTTAGGAATGGGTGACACCCTTGGAGGCTCTCCGGAATGTGGCTGTGCCCTCACTGTCCACAGACGGTGACCACTAAATGTTCTGCAGTCTTTCCCACAGCCCCACCATTGTCTGTGTGCCCACCTTACCTTGCAGGTGGGGTAGGGAGGCCATCTGCACCTCCCAGGGCACTTGATGGTCTCACAGACCCAGCTGTTGCCCCGTCTGCTTCCTTCCACCTTGTTGATGTGCGGAGGGTGTTGAAGGAGGGGCCACCATCCCTCACCAGAGGAACCCATGGTGTTCACTCCCTCGAAGGTATGGGACACCCTGAGAAGGCCCAGCCTGACTTAGCTGCTGGTCTCTCTGCCTTTTCTCTTTTAAAGTTCCCAAAGTGCTGAGTTTGCTGGGGGAGCTGTGCTCTGAAGTTTGGTCCATGCTGACCTACTGTGCCTGTGGTTTCGTTGGTGAGAAGGGTTGGTGCAAGCAGTCTGGATGGCCTGTGGGGATGGCTGCCCCCACACTCCAGAGTCTCCCCTTGCCCCCAAGGTGCAAGTGGTCAGCTCGAGCTGCTGCTTTCGGTGGGGTGGGGGCATAGGGAGGTTAGGTACTGCAGCTCATTCCCTGTTGGAAGCAGGTGCTCTGTAGTCGAGCATATGCCTTTGGGGCTGTCCTTGGAGGCCCCGGTGCTCCGACGTAGCTCGGTAAGCCAGATGCAGGGCCACATCACTGTGTGACTCAGAGCATGGCTATGTTGCCCTTCTGAGTCCTGAGGAGACCTCAGACCTCTCACAATGAGGGGCAAAGCAGCATGCACAGCCCGTTTGACGTGCTGGCCCTGAGACCTGGGCGGAACCAGCTCCAGAACTCCGTGGTAACAACGTGTCCGTGTCCATGAGCCCCACTGAGCCCCGGGTGTGTCCAGGCAGTTGAGCTCTGCATCCATTACTTGCCTGAGGTCAGACACAGCAGAATAGCCAGGGGATGAAACTCAGGCCCCAGTAACCAAGATATGGTCACAGCATGTCAGACAGGCCAGGCCCGGGGGACTACAACTCAGCTTTCAGAGAGGAGGCCAAGGCAGTGTGTGACAGGCCTGGGCCTCTGCTCGA